AAGGATATCTGAAGGATTCTTCCAGGGTTCAATGCCCCGTGAGTCAGTCCTAGACCAGGCCTCCCATTGGATCAAGGCCTGATCAACCAGAATGTTACTGCTAGCTGCATGCAGTTCAAAGTACAAACTACTGCTCGGATGGTTAGAACGAATTTGAGGAACTTGTCCAGTTCCCTCTTGAAGACTGCCAGGGGCTTGTTGGGTATCTATGACACTCACCAAGTTCTCTCTTAGTGTACTTGTTGTGTTCTCTGCTTTTTTTTTTTTTTTTTGGAGGTACTGTGCACTATCTGCCAAGTCTCTTGCTTTCTTTCACACTGAATGATTCTGGTGTGCAGGTTTGAGACCAGTCACTAGAGGATTTTCCAGGTGTAAATTATGATGTACTTTTCTAATTTACATTTCAAGGAATACAGTTGAAGTTTCAGGTGTTCCCAGCTGTTTAGACATTTGATTGAGTGTATGTGGGTAGAGAGAGTTCTCTATACATTTTCTAGCTCAGCAATTTTTCCTGCCTTGAAGGAAGCTGTTAGTATACAACAGTATTCCAGCCTGGAGAGAACAAGTGGCTTGAAGGGTATCATCAGTGACTCAGTATCCCCTGTCTTGGAAGTTCTAGTTATCCAGCCTATCATTTTTCTTGCAGTAGCTGTAACAACATTGTTGCGAATCTTGAATGTGAGATCTTCTGACATCTACTCTATTGAATGATTTGGGTTAGTCCTGTACTCCATTTCAATCTTTATTGCCTCCATTCCTCCATAGTGGAACAGTTGAGACTTGACCTCATTGAACATCATAATGTTGTCAGAGGCCAACTAGAAAAGTTATTTATATCCTCTTGATGATTCACTGTGTCTTTGATGGATGCCACTTACATTGAGATTCTGGTGTCATCAGCAAGGGATGTCACAGTGCTATGAATTACATACTCCATGTTGGATACAAGAATGAGAAAGTGAAGTGGAGCGAGTATTGTCTTGAAGAATAGATCTTTTCAGTGTAGCAACCTCTGACCTCACTCTCTTCACTGCTACTCTTACCTCTGTTCGTTAAGAAGTTAAGTATCTCTCTGCCCACTTAACCAGTTATTCCTTTTGGATGTAATGGTCACATGTCAAAGGCTTTTGCAAAATCATGTGCAGCATATCAGCATTTAACTTGTCTTTTACTGCATTCAAGACCATATTGTGTAATGGTCTAGCAATTGTGAAAGATTGGAGTGACCTGCTTTAAACCCATGCTTCCCTAAATTGTGCAGTCGTTACAATTCCTTGTGATTTGCTATCTTGCATCTTGAGTATGAAGTTATCAATATTCGCCTGAACTTTTGCACAATTACTTTATTGCCACAAGTGCATGAGCAAACAAACACTGGGCATTTGGCCTTAGTATTTTTTAATAATGCCAGATAATTAGCTTATAAGATAGTACATATAATAAATATTTGTTAAATTTTTTTTTTTTTTTTTGTTTTGTAGATTTTTTACTTGATAAATACTAGTGGATGACATCGACCATGATGTATACCTTCATCATCATATTAACCCTTTCAGGGTCCGTCCCGTAGATCTACGGCTTTACGTTCAGGGTCCAAACCGTAGATCTGCGCCATGAGCTCAGCTCACTCTGATAAACTGTGAGTGGTACATTTGGGCCTAGATATGAGAGAATACATCTATGTGGTATGTGTGCACCACATAAAACAGATCCTGCAGCACACTGTGTATAATGAGAGAAAAAAATGAAATCATGATTTTTCGATTAAAACAGCAACTTTGCAGTGTTTTTTCGTATGTTTTTTATAGTTGTATTTGCGATTTCTTGGTCTCATTTGATAGAATGGAAGACATATTACAGAAATAGAGATGATTTTGATTGGTTTTAGCACTGGAAATGGCTTGAAACTGAGCTCAAAGTAGCAGAAATGTTAAATTTTTGCCGATATTCAAGAGTAAACAAACGACCTCACACGTGTAATACACGCCAGCTGGTGGGTCTAATATACATTCACAAATATGGTGATGATATTATAACAATTATTACAGTATTGCATAACAGTAAATCTTCTATTTTTTGGTGTGAATAAAAATTCATTATGTGAATAAAAAATCAAAATGGAATTTATTTGTAAAGCCTCAAAACATAACTAATGAACAGAGGAAATGTTAGTTTAGTGCCAGGAATGCCTACATTGTTCATTCTGGACCCTATTTTGAAATTGGAATATTTTGAACTTTGTGTTAAATTGGCCAAATTAACAATTTCCGATCACTTTATTTTGTAGTTGAAACAGTTGACTTGGTGATTTCTTGTGCTCAATCGATAGAATAGAATAATACTAGTGAAATAGCTAAGAATTTGGTTGATTGGGATAATGTAATTGGCCTAAAATGGAGTCAAAGTCGGCAAAATCGCCGATTCGTAAATATCGCTGACACATCAAAATTCGCGAGAGCATAATTTCGTCAATTTTCCACCAAATTTCGTACTTTTTGTTTTATTACCTTCACAAAAAGATTCTCTACGATTTCATAAGAAAAAATAACAAATTTTTTTTTTGAAAATTCTTGGACACTGGTGCGTGACTCCAGATTTGGGCCTTGGACCCTGAAAGGATTAAGGAGGGGTGTTTATATGAACATACATTTTTAATTTTTATTTTATTCTTTCACATTCCTCTCCTTGGCTTTCTAATACTTCAGTTGATGGTTCTACACTTCACATCTGAATGATTTTGCTCAGCAGTTAAACTTGGTGTGGAGAAGGGTGCACTGGTTAATAGCATATCTGCTGTAATTAATTTTTTTCTGATACAATAATGTTATTCATTTTGAAATATTAGCAGAGCTCAAATGATTCACTTTTGTTGTCTCCTGATATTTTTGCTATTGTGTTTCACCAGTTTTGTTGATGGGGAGCTTCATGTGTCTTATGCTTGTTTAATTATGTTTATGAGGGGAAAATTAACAGACACAGATCTTGTTCATATAAAGACCCAGTCAAGGGCTCATTAGAGCTTCATAGAAAAATGCTGCATTTGTTTCTTTAACCTGCATGTATTGTTTAAGTGTGTCCTTGATAACAAGGGTCACTTGCTTTGCTTGCTCTTTCTATAGATTACATGTCACTTAACATATTTGTTTAACTGTAACTCAGGCAATAAATAGCATCACTTGGAGCAAGTGTTAGGAGATAAAAGAAATGGCAAGAAATGGTAAAAATGTACCCATCTCCTCACAATGGTCATGATGATAGCAGAACCCTTGTTTTACCCCCTTAAGTCCACACACATACCTCTAGCCAAGATCATGGAATCAAGAGATTCTCCTGGGCTGCAGGAATAGAAAAACTCCTGAAACTGGTGACAGGTATATCTGGTTAAACAGACGAGGGGTTGAGGCTGTGGGATACTGAGATACTTTCCTTGAATAACACAGTGACCAAAATACATATACAGTGGACCCTCGACCAACGATATTAATTCATTCCAGAGAGCTTATCTTTAGGCGAATTTATTGTTAGTCGAATTAATTTTCCCCATAAGAAATAATGGAAATCCAATTAATCCGTTCCAGACAGCCAAAAGTATTAAAAAATATTTTTTTTTTTCATGAAATATACATTTCCCTACAAAGACAACAATGAGATATGCACAGTAACTACATAAATAAATGATAAAATGACTCCTTTATTGAAGAGTATTGATAACTGATGAGATACTGTTCTTCTTGAACACTCTGGGATTTTCAGAGTGATACATGAGTAAAGGCTTCACTTTGCAATCCCCACTAGCATTACAACAAAACATGAGAGTTAGCCTGTCTTTCATTGGTTTGTGTCCTGGGAGTGCCTTTTCCTCCTTAGTAATGTAGATCCTGTTTGGCATTTTCTTACAGAACAGGCCTGTTTCGTCACAATTGAACACTTGTTGGGGTTGGAATTTTTCAGCTTCGCCATGCCTTATCACACTGTGTATGCCACTACGATTCTTAAATCTCTCAAACCAACCTTCGCTAGTTTTAAATTCACCAATATGAGCACTAGTTCCAGACATTTTTTCCTGTTCACCTCGGTGTTAGTTGACTGGTGTGGCTCGCATCCTGGGGAACAAGATTAAGGACCCCAATGGAAATAAGCTAGACAGTCCTTGATGATGCACTGACTTTCTTGGGTTATCCTGGGTGGCTAACCCTCTGGGGTTAATTGTTTTTCGGTAATTGTTTGTCGTTAAGCCACATCAACAACACTCTCTCCACATCTTTGAGTAGTACAGCTGATGATGGTGCAGCAGCAGCAGCTGCTGACTGTGGTACAGCAGTAGCTGATGGTGGTACAGCAGTAGCTGATGGTGGTACAGCAGCAGCTGATGGTGAGGCAGCAGCAGCTGATGGTGGTGCAGTAGCAGCTGACCGTGGTACAGCAGCAGCTGACGGTGGTACAGCAGCAGCTGACGGTGGTGCAGCAACAGCTGACCGTAGTACAATAGTATTTCGATAGTATTTCTCACCCTTTTTACCACAGGGATGGCACTAGAAGCTTTCTTTGGGCCCATGGTGGCTTATTCAGCAGTTACAAGCTTAAAAAACAATGGAATAATACAAAATATATCGCATATATTTTGTATTATTCCTGGCTTATAAACAATAGCACACTATCTGAGGGTAGGGCAACTGAGGCGCGCTCAGCCTGGACAGACAGGCAGACACGTTCGGGACGCATGTTGTTAGTCGAGTTTTTCATTGTTGGTCGGGCCAAAATTTTTATGCAAAAATGCTTTGTTAGGTGATTTTTTTCATTAGACGATGCCTTCGTTGGTCGGGGGTCCACTGTAGTTTATGAAATGGTACTGTGCTCAGACTATATAGTGGAGTGTACACTAGCCCAGTATATTGTGTTCTCCAGTGGTTCATATGAGAGTAATTCATATTCTTGCAGATATCCTTATTGATGAAAAATGAGAATTTTTTTAACCCTTAGTTTTCTCCCTTTGACACCAGGCATGCGGTAGTGTTGAGGATGAACCTGCGTTACCGTGTGAGTCGTGGCCAAAGCAGCAGCCCTGTTAGCAGCAGTAGCAGCAACAGCGGTGGTGGTGGTGGTGGAGGCGGGGGAGGAAGCAACAGCACCAGGAACCACCACCGCCGCACACCCCTCTCCCCTGCTTCTCCACACCCACTGTCTCCTACACACCTGCTCAAATCTCCAGTGAGAGCTCCAAGAGCTCATAGAACAGTCAAGAGATCTGGTGATGTCTTTGAGGTGAGGCTCAGAGTAGTATTACTGTATTTAATTGATTCACTGAGAATAGGTTGCTGGTAAATTTAAGAACATAAGAATATGTATAAGCACTGCAGCAGGCCTAATGGCCCATTCTAGGCAGGTTCAGCTCACCCCCACATATGTACCTATCCAGCCAATTTTTAAAACATCTCCAAATTCACTCTTCATTGAGGCTACTTGGGAGTTTGTTCCATTCATCTACATCTCTGTTGCTAAACCAATGCTTTCCTATATATACTCTTAATCTAAATTTGTCCATCTTGACTCCATTGCTGTGAGTCCTGCCTTGGTTAGATACTCTCAGCATATTATTTGCAGCATATTCTTATTATTCTGCTTTTCCATTTGTACACATTAGTTATATCATCCCTACCCCTATGCTTTTTCAGGGTACAAATTCACTGCCTTCAGCTTATCTATCTACATAGGAAAGATTTCTTACATGTGAAATCAATTTTATCATACATCTCTGTATGTTTTACAGTGCATTATGTCCATTCTATAATAGGGAGACCAGAACTGACCAGTATATAGGTCTTACTAAAAACATATGAAGGTGAAGTATAGCTTGAGAACATTTTTTATTTTTGCATTTTGATCTGAAACCAAGAAGTCTATTAGGTTTATTGCTTATACAGCTAGCCCTTCACTTTTGCAAGTTCCACTTTTGTGAGCTTCAAACATTCGTCAGTGGTGAGTGTTTTGTTTGTTTAATTTTTGTTATTTAACCATAACATGTATATACAATATTTTACGATATTTTCATGTGTTTTATGATTGTTCGTGGTTCAATAGGTCAAGGAAGCAGTATTGTTAGGTTTAAGTAAATGCTATTACAGTGGACCCCCAGTTTTCGTAATTAATCCGTTCCAGAGAGAGTGACTAAACCCGAATCTGACGAATTCCGAATTACTTTTCCCCATAAGAAATAATGGAAATCCAATTAATCCGTTTCAGACAACCAAAAGTATTAAAAAAATATTTTTTTTATTTTTTTTTATTAACACATCGGCCAATTACCACCAAGGCAGGGTGGCCCGAAAAAGAAAAACTTTCATTATCATTCACTCTATCACTGTCTTGCCAGAGGGGTGCTTTACACTACAGTTATAAAACTGCAATAATAACACCCCTCCTTCAGAGTGCAGACACTGTACTTCCCATCTCCAGGACTCAAGTCCGGCCTGCCGGTTTCCCTGAACCCCTTCATAAATGTTACTTTGTTCACACTCCAACAGCATGTCAAGTATTGAGAACCATTTGTCTCCATTCACTCCTATCAAATATGCTCATTCATGCTTGCTGGAAGTTCAAGCCCCTCGCACACAAAACCTCCTTTATTCCCCCCTCCCTCCAACCTTTCCCAGGCCGTCCCCTACCCTGCCTTCCCTCCACTACAGATTTATACACTCTCAGAGTCATTCTATTTTGTTCCTTCCTCTCTACATGTCCAAACCACCTCAACAACCCTTCCTCAGCTCTCTGGATAATAGTTTTGGTAATCCTGCACCCCCTCCTCCTTATATTTTTTTTATTATCACACTGGCCGATTCCCACCAAGGCAGGGTGGCCCGAAAAAGAAAAACTTTCACCATCATTCACTCCATCACTGTCTTGCCAGAAGGGTGCTTTACACTACAGTTTTTAAACTGCAACATTAACACCCCTCCTTCAGAGTGCAGGCACTGTACTTCCCATCTCCAGGACTCAAGTCCGGCCTGCCGGTTTCCCTTATATATATAAGGTTTATAAACTAAAAGAGGAGGCAGTTAGGGTAAGATATAAACAGCTATTGGAGGATAGATGGGCTAATGAGAGCATAGGCAATGGGGTCGAAGAGGTATGGGGTAGGTTTAAAAATGTAGTGTTAGAGTGTTCAGCAGAAGTTTGTGGTTACAGGAAAGTGGGTGCGGGAGGGAAGAGGAGCGATTGGTGAAATGATGATGTAAAGAGAGTAGTAAGGGAGAAAAAGTTAGCATATGAGAAGTTTTTACAAAGTAGAAGTGATGCAAGGAGGGAAGAGTATATGGAGAAAAAGAGAGAGGTTAAGAGAGTGGTGAAGCAATGTAAAAAGAGAGGAAATGAGAGAGTGGGTGAGATGTTATCAACAAATTTTGTTGAAAATAAGAAAAGTTTTGGAGTGAGATTAACAAGTTAAGGAAGCCTAGAGAACAAATGGATTTGTCAGTTAAAAATAGGAGAGGAGAGTTATTAAATGGAGAGTTAGAGGTATTGGGAAGATGGAGGAAATATTTGAGGAATTGTTAAATGTTGATGAAGATAGGGAAGCTGTGATTTCGTGTATAGTTCAAGGAGGAATAACATCTTGTAGGAGTGAGGAAGAGCCAGTTGTGAGTGTGGGGAAGTTCGTGAGGCAGTAGGTAAAATGAAAGGGGTAAGGCAGCCAGGATTGATGGGATAAAGATAGAAATGTTAAAAGCAGGTGGGGATATAGTTTGAAGTGGTTGGTGCAATTATTTATTAAATGTATGGAAGAGGGTAAGGTACCTAGGGATTGGCAGGAGCATGCATAGTTCCTTTGTATAAAGGCAAAGGGGACAAAAGAGAGTGCAAAAATTATAGGGGGATAAGTCTGTTGAGTATACCTGGTAAAGTGTATGGTAGAGTTATTATTGAAAGAATTAAGAGTAAGACAGAGAATAGGATAGCAGATGAACAAGGAGGCTTTAGGAAAGGTAGGGGAGTGTATGGACCAGGTGTTTACAATGAAACATATAAGTGAACAGTATTTAGATAAGGCTAAAGAGGTCTTTGTGGCATTTATGGATTTGGAAAAGGCGTATGACAGGGTGGATAGGGGGGGCAATGTGGCAGATGTTGCAGGTGTATGGTGTAGGAGGTAGGTTACTGAAAGCAGTGAAGAGTTTTTATGAGGATAGTGAGGCTGAAGTTAGAGTATGTAGGAAAGAGGGAAATTATTTCCCAGTAAAAGTAGGCCTTAGACAAGGATGTGTGATGTCACCGTGGTTGTTTAAATATTTATAGATGGGGTTTGTAAGAGAAGTAAATGCGAGGGTCTTGGCAAGAGGCGTGGAGTTAAAAGATAAAGAATCACACATAAAGTAGGAGTTGTCACAGTTGCTCTTTGCTGATGACACTGTGCTCTTGGGAGATTCTGAAGAGAAGTTGCAGAGATTGGTGGATGAATTTGGTAGGGTGTGCAAAAGAAGAAAATTAAAAGTGAATACAGGAAAGAGTAAGGTTATGAGGATAACAAAAAGATTAGGTGATGAAAGATTGGATATCAGATTGGAGGGAGAGAGTATGGAGGAGGTGAAGGTATTCAGATATTTGGGATGTGGACGTGTCAGCGGATGGGTCTGTGAAAGATGAGGTGAATCATAGAATTGATGAGGGAGAAAAGGGTGAGTGATGCACTTAGGAGTCTGTGGAGGCAAAGAACTTTGTCCTTGGAGGCAAAGAGGGGAATGTATGAGAGTATAGTTTTACCAATGCTCTTATATGGGTGTGAAGCATGGGTGATGAATGTTGCAGCGAGGAGAAGGCTGGAGGCAGTGGAGATGTCATGTCTGAGGGCAATGTGTGGTGTGAATATAATGCAGAGAATTCGTAGTTTGGAAGTTAGGAGGGGGTGCGGGATTACCAAAACTGTTGTCCAGAGGGCTGAGGAAGGGTTGTTGAGGTGGTTCGGACATGTAGAGAGAATGGAGCGAAACAGAGTGACTTCAAGAGTGTATCAGTCTGTAGTGGAAGGAAGGCGGGGTAGGGGTCGGCCTAGGAAAGGTTGGAGGGAGGGGGTAAAGGAGGTTTTGTGTGCGAGGGGCTTGGACTTCCAGCAGGCATGCGTGAGCGTGTTTGATAGGAGTGAATGGAGACAAATGGTTTTTAATACTTGACATGCTGTTGGAGTGTGAGCAAAGTAACATTTATGAAGGGATTCAGGGAAACCGGCTGGCCGGACTTGAGTCCTGGAGATGGGAAGTACAGTGCCTGCACTCTGAAGGAGGGGTGTTAATGTTGCAGTTTAAAAACTGTAGTGTAAAGCCCCCTTCTGGCAAGACAGTGATGGAGTGAATGATGGTGAAAGTTTTTCTTTTTCGGGCCACCCTGCCTTGGTGGGAATCGGCCAGTGTGATAATAAAAAAAAAAAAAATTAATTAGGATTGCCATCGTAGTCTTAAGTTAGGCTTAAGCTTGCCTGAAATACTTTACATATCTATGGGCTTTCTGCATGCACAACGAAATGTCACCCATCTCTGTACAAACATTGTATCATGCCGAAATAAATTTACTATTATTATTATTTTAATTTTTTCACATATTTATGGGGTTCATTTATAATTTTTATTTTTAGCCATCCATGTTGACAAGTAAGTGTTTGCATTGTAATCTGACAATAACAGATTATCTTCTCAGATTGTCTGATTGGGCCAATTAATTTTTTCTGAAATGGCTGAGAATAATGATGTAGTTAACCTTTGATATAATGGACATATATATAACTGATTATGGAAATATGGTCAGTTAATTTAGAAGCAAAGGGCAAAGTCCAGGGGTTACAGAATTGTTGGTTGTTGTTACTATCATGGTAAAAATAATCTCAACAAATTAAACCATGTAGTGACATCCTACAAAATACGGTCATTGGGTATTATGGGAAAAGTGGGCAAATGTATTTTCAGTTTTGTGAAGTATAGAACACAAAGTGAAAAGTTCAGTACCCCTAAGGCATGATCCTGGCTCCTATACTGTTTCTGAACCTTATACTGTAGTAGACATCGATAAAAACACCAGCTGCAGCTTTGTTTCATTCTTTGCAAACAATACAAAAAATAAACATAAACATCACCTCAGTAGAAGTCAAAATCACAGGAAGATGAAAAGAAAGTCTTCAGTAAGTAATAGAAAGCTATATGATGTTCATTGATGACAAATTCCAATTGCTCAGATATGGCAAGAATGAAAAATTCAGAGGAGGCACTATACAAAACACAAGAAAACCATCTCATAGTATAAAATGTTCCTGTAAAAGACTTTGGTATAATAATGTCAGCTGACCTATCACTTAAAGAACATAGTAAGACAAACGCTGTAAAAGTTGGGAAAATGACAGGGTGAATAATGAGATCCCTGGATGCAAGTAAAGTGAGTCAGTGTTGGTATGGAGGATACAGAGAGATAAGTCATTCTGTTACTCAGAATGGTGCACAATTCATAAGGCTGCTGTAAACCGAATCCACCAATACAGGGGTTCTGCTGTACATGGAATATGCTTGAGGGCCTGGTTGCCAATCTATATACTCCTGTAACAACATACTGGAGTTAGAGAAATGGGAAGAAATGGAAAATGTACCCATTAAAATCCAGGGGCACCATAGGCACAGTAAGAGAACAACACTATGTCATTGTCTATGCCTTGGCTATTCAACCTACTGCTAGCAGTTTTCATAAATATTTTAGAAACAAGTGTAAAAGTTTACAAGAGGAAACTGTAATACAACTTCTGCAGAGTGCCAGATCAGTCAGGTTGTGATGGATATATGAGCCATCAGGCTGCCAACAGCAACAGCCTGGTTGCCTAGACAACCAACAAGGAAATGCTGTGGAGTGAGAGTGGGAAATCTCTTTAAGCCAGCCACAGGTAAATCACAAGTAAATTCTAAAATTCTTGATGCTGAAACATTGTGCAAGAGTGATTGGGGTCCAATGGTACCTTGCTCAATCACTTACTGATCAGAATTGATCTACTTTATTTTGGAGATGTAAAGATTCTATACAAAATACAATAAATTTGATGCTCTTTTCCACAGCTATGTTAATATGCTCTTAATGTAATGTCTACACTGTTTCAACAGGAGCAGAATGAAAACTTGTTGGTGTCACCAGCACAGTACAACAGTGTGGTGAACGTGTCCGTCCCGCATCACCACACTCCTTTCCTACGTGCACGACGTTATCCCACCAAGTTGTCCAAGTGCAAAAATAGCCCTCCAACTCCAACACCCATTATTGACTCTGACAACAATATTATTACAACAAAATTGCTCAAGCCACGCCCTCTGAGAGTTAGCAAGTGAGTGATGATTTGTTTTCCATTCCTCTAGTCCTTTTTCTGCCTAACTAAATATATTTTGTTCTTTTTTGTTTGTCCAGATTTTGATGCCTTATAATTTTGTTAGTTAATAAACTGCTGTGTAGGCTGTAATTAAGCTTTTAATTTTTTTAACATATCTGCTGTTTCCCACTGAGGCAGGCTGACCCCAAAAAGATGAAGAACTTTCATCATCACTCACTCTATCACTGTCTTGCCAGAGGTGTAAAGATTCTGCTTTAAATACTAGATGTAATATATTTGTATGATGTGTGGGTGTGCTGTCCCCAAGCTTACCACATGTGGTGCAAACACTTCTGCATTTCATGTGATTAAAGAGAAAAATTTACTCACTGTGAAATTAGGAAATTTTCTAATGGTGGCAATAATGCTCATTGTAATGTATTCATGCTACTGTGAAAAAATTAATAAACAAAAAAGTGACAGCAGATAGGGAATTTATAGCTTTTGTATTATGTGGGGTTGAATTTATACAGATAGCGTGTGAATGTTGTACAGTAGTTTGCAGGGTTATTTTGTGGTACAGATAGGTTTGCCAGGATGGGTCATTGTCTGTGTCTTCTCCACGTGGTGATCCAGCATATTTTGTGGTGTTTACCTGGAGTTTACCTGGAGAGAGTTCCGGGGGTCAACGCCCCCGCGGCCCGGTCTGAGACCAGGCCTCCTGGTGGATCAGAGCCTGATCAACCAGGCTGTTGCTGCTGGCTGCACGCAAACCAACATACGAGCCACAGCCCGGCTGATCCGGAACTGACTTTAGGTGCTTGTCCAGTGCCAGCTTGAAGACTGCCAGGGGTCTGTTGGTAATCCCCCTTATGTGTGCTGGGAGGCAGTTGAACAGTCTCGGGCCCCTGACACTTATTGTATGGTCTCTTAACGTGCTAGTGACACCCCTGCTTTTCATTGGGGGGATGGTGCATCGTCTGCCAAGTCTTTTGCTTTCGTAGTGGGTGATTTTCGTGTGCAAGTTCGGTACTAGTCCCTCTAGATTTTCCAGGTGTATATAATCATGTATCTCTCCCTCCTGCGTTCCAGGGAATACAGGTTTAGGAACCTCAAGCGCTCCCAATAATTGAGGTTGTTTTATCTCCGTTATGCGCGCCGTGAAAGTTCTCTGTACATTTTCTAGGTCGGCAATTTCACCTGCCTTGAAAGGTGCTGTTAGTGTGCAGCAATATTCCAGCCTAGATAGAACAAGTGACCTGAAGAGTGTCATCATGGGCTTGGCCTCCCTAGTTTTGAAGGTTCTCATTATCCATCCTGTCATTTTTCTAGCAGATGCGATTGGTACAGTGTTATGGTCCTTGAAGGTGAGATCCTCCGACATGATCACTCCCAGGTCTTTGACGTTGGTGTTTCGCAGCTAGAGAACAAGTGATGGTGAATGTGTTTCCCTTTTAGGATCATCCTTTCTTGATGGAAGCAGCTGGTGTGATTAAAAAAATTTAACAAGGAATAGTGAAATAGGAAAGACTAGGGGCACAGGCAGTATTACTGAACTGTATTTATGAAAGGCAGTATTTCTGTATTGTATTTATGAAAGGCAGGCCTGCATTTGCAGATTCTCTTACTTTTATCAGTGTTGAAGCTCTGAATGCTTTAGAAAGTTACGGCTTGTGAAGTCATTATTGTACCTTTTATTTTCACTCATTTTTTTTATAAGTGTACTAAGACTTGGGTGTTGGTGCACTTCAGGCGGCAGAACGAATCACCACTGAACTATAAACGTCACACACCACGGAAGCCCCACAGTCGACGTCACCGCATTGCACATTCCACTGAAACATCAAAGGTAATATATACTTCTTAAACACACAAGGAATCTGACCAGTACAGAGTACATTATGTGATATCAATGAACCCTCAGTTTAAAAGATCTCAGTTTAGCAAACCTGGTAATATGGGACAAAATATGCTGGGTCGGTTGACTTAGGAACAATAGACAAACTGGGTTAGTTACAAAATTATCTTATTTTTACAGTCACGACAAAATAATCTCATCACTATCCACCACAAGTGTCACTGCCAGCCACCAGCTCCAACCTGGTAATCTGTTAAATTGAGGGTCTGCTCCTGTAGTTTAATATAATAGTTAGAATAAATGCAGTGAAGAACAGGGAGCCCATGGGTGTAGGTGAAGAATAGTGTGTTGACATTTTTTTTTTTTAACGCGTCAGCCATTTCCCACCGAGGCAGGGTGACCCAAAAAGAAAGAAAACACCAAAAAGAAAGAAAAAACTTTCAGCATCATTCAACATTTTCACCATCACTCATGCAGGGTCACTGTCTTTGCAGAGGTGTTTAGATACAACAGCTTAGATGTTCCTCCAAACTGCCAATATTCCAAACCCCTCCTTTGTGTTATCATGTGTGATCCAAAACCTTTCAACATATCACTAGCAGATATCAGAGCTATTGCCAGAGTAGAAATAGAAATTTAAAAGAAGCTGGACAGATTCCTGCTACAAGTGATGCATCAGCCAGGTCGTGATGATTGTGTAGACATGCAAACCCACAGACAGCATGGTTGACCAGGCATTCAGCATAGAATCCTGGTCTCAGGCCTGGCTGAGAGGGTAGAATCTTCCAAACTGGTCAGAGGTATGTCATAAGGTAGGCATTTCAGTTCCAGTCTGGGATGAATCTAATTAGGATCACATGTTTTTCCCCCTCATTGCTTCTCTGTGAGATTGCTTCACAATGCCTCTTCACATTTTACTGATGTTTTCAAGGCTTGTTTGTGTAACTTATTGAAATAAAAGTTATGGATATTTATTGGGAAGTTTTTTTTTTTTTCAACAAGTCGGCCGTCTCCCACCAAGGCAGGGTGACCCAAAAAAGAAAGAAAATCCCCAAAAAGAAAATACTTTCATCATCATTCAACACTTTCACCACACTCACACATTATCACTGCTTTTGCAGAGGTGCTCAGAATACAACAGTTTAGAAGCATATACGTATAAAGATACACAACATATCCCTTCAAACTGCCAATATCCCAAACCCCTCCTTTAAAGTGCAGGCATTGTACTTCCCATTTCCAAGACTCAAGTCCGACTATATGAAAATAACCGGTTTCCCTGAATCCCTTCACTAAATATTACCCTGCTCACACTCCAGCAGATCGTCAGGTCCCACGTATCATTCGTCTCCATTCACTCCTATCTAACTTGCTCATGCACGCTTGCTGGAAGTCCAAGCCCCTCGCCCACAAAACCTCCTTTACCCCCTCTTTCCAACCCTTTCGAGGATGACCCCTACCCCTCTTTCCTTCCCCTATAGATTTATATGCTTTCCATGTCATTCTACTTTGATCTATTCTCTCTAAATGACCAAACCACCTCAACAAACCCTCTTCTGCCCTCTGACTAATGCTTTTATTAACTCCACACCTACTCCTAATTTCCACACTCCGAATTTTCTGCATAATATTTACACCACACATTGCCCTTAGACAGGACATCTCCACTGCCTCCAACCATCTCCTCGCTGCTGCATTTACCACCAAGCTTCACATCCATATAAGAGTGTTGGTACTACTATACTTTCATACATTCCCTTCTTTGCCTCCATAGATAACGTTTTTTGACTCCACATATACCTCACCGCACCACTCAACCTTTTTTTTTTCCCTCATCAATTCTATGATTAACCTCATCCTTCATAAATCCATCTGCCGACACGTCAACTCCCAAGTATCTGAAAACATTCACTCTTCCATACTCACTCCTCCCCCCCAATTTGATATCCAATTTTTCTTACAAATCATTTGATACCCCTCCCCCTTACTTTTTTCTATGTTCACTTTCACTTTTTTAACCTTTACACCATTCCAAACTCATCCACAACCTTTGAAATTTTTTTCTTTAAAAACTCCCATAAGCACGTATCATAAAAAAAGTAACTGTGCCCAATTCCCATTTAATTTGATTCCCCAAAATTTAAACCCCAATTTGGGGGGGGTTTTTTTCCTTCATTTTAAATGCAGTAATAACAAATAGGAAAGAGATCCACACATAAAAATAAATTCCCAACCAAAATTTTTGCTTTATGCATCATGCCTGAAAATAAGGGCATTTTCCTTTTTTCCCTGGGCTTATTTATTTATTTTACAATTTTTATTTTTTAAAAATAGATAACGTAATCACTTAATTTTTGCATGAAACACAATTTTAAATGCCAAGCATTTAAAAAAAAACATGTTAAATTTTAAAACAAAATTGTTTGAAAAGAATATTTTTTAAAATACTGGTATTGCATTTTTGATTGGGTGATATCACGGTTTTAAAAAATCCTTTGATTTTTTAAAAACCAAAATTTTCCCCAAATGAGATGGGGGACCCAAAAAAAAAAAGGAAAAAAATTTCACCATCTTTGATTCTTTAATTTCCTGCCAGAATGTTCAAAATTTCCCAAATCCTCTAAAATTCCCAACTCAAAACCCCTTCCCAACTCCAGCACTCATTTTTGGGCAACCAGTTTTCTGAATACCTTCTTAATTTACCTTGCCACATTTCAACTGCATATAAAACCATTAAAAACCTTTCTTATTCTTTTCTATCTAACAGCTCCCCCAACCTCGGGATATTCAATTTTTAGCACCAAAACATTCTCTCCCCTTTCCTCCAACCCCCCGGGGATACCCCTTCCCCCTTTCCTTCCACTTGAGATTTATGCAACCTTTTTGTCACCATTTCTCTCCATCATCTCTAAACCCTAAACCATCTCAAAAATTCCTTCTCACCTTTCTGAAATAACCTTTGGTCACTCAACACTTTTTTTAATTTCTGTTTTCTGAATTCTTTGCAAAATATTCACACCACACACCTTTAAAAATATGACATGTCACACTCCCCTCTAGACCCCCTTTTCTGTAATTACAAAAATTATGATTTAATAAAAAATTACCAGTATTAAAAATTCCCTTTTCATTTGGCGGGATTTTAAGGGTAATTTCCCAAAATTTTCCAAATATACAGGGAAGTCAGTTCCCCCAATTGGGTTTTAAAAGGGACACATTGCCTACATTTTAGAAAGCTTGGTGGTAGGGGGGAACTGATGTAGTTGACAGAGCCATCAGTCATCACATCTTTGGATAGTGTTTGTGCCCTTCTTGAAGAACAGCGGGAAAGAGCGAAACAAAAGAAAATTATGCCTCAGAGAATCCTCCAGTTCACGGGGAAGTCTTTAGTGATTCTGTCAGGGCATTTTATACAAAATTGTGTTTTCGTAAATACTAGTAAAAATATCCTTCAAGTTTGGGGCAAAATTTTTTTCATTACAAAAAAGTAAAACAAGGGTCTTGATAGGAAAGTGGATGAAAAAAGAATATATTTAAAAGCTTGAAGATGAATAGGGAAAATTATAAAGAAGATTTCTAGCTTTAACATTCAGAAAGGTCAAGAAATTTTTAATGATTAAATGGGGAGATTAATTTTTTGAAATTGGTTTGTCAACAGTTATTCATGGTGATTTGACTTGCTATCTTATCCTTGAACAATGTTAAGGGGTGCAAGAGAGAAGGGCCCGCCATGGAACCTCCCCCTCTCTCCTGTGTATTCAGTGGGCTCCATCCAACCCCTCTCCACCTCTCCAAAGGGGCCCCCCCTTGGCAAGACTTCACCAGGGGCTTATTTTATGATGACTACCCTGTGGGGAAAACCAAGAAGAACTAAAAAAAATTGATAAAGGTGATGACACCACTAGTAACCCAGGGGCAATTTCCGGAAACACTCAAGCACCCCCGATTTAACCAGCTTTCTGCTCGATTCAGTTTTGATTTCCCACATCCTAGATCCACATCTACCAATTTTTTTCCGCAAGGTGAGGGGCACCCCTTTTTTGCAAATAGAGGACGAGGGTTTTGTTAAAACGTTATTAATTTAGCAACATAAATAAAAGTTTGGTTATTTACACAAGTTTTAATTTGGATTGCAGTACTATTATCTTAGAATGCTATTTTGTAGAATATACGTTTAAAAAAACCTTATTGCATTTCTGATTCAACTTTTAAGGCCAGTGATAAATTTTAATAAAAAAAAAATAATGCTATTAGCACCCTTTCCCCAAAATTGTACAATTTTCTTCTCCAAATACCCGACGAAAAATTTTATTGAAGGGCACGTGTTGTTTTCCCACCCTGGACCTGAGGGAAGCAGAGAGAGATTTTCCAGGGTTCTCAGTGTGCAGTGCAAGAGAATAAGGAGAATTATGAGGTCATTTTTTTTTGCAGTTTTTTTTTTTTTTTTTTTTTTTTCCACAATCGCCGACTCCCCCCGAGGGAGGGTGCCCAAAAAAGAAAGAAAAACCCCAAAAGAAAATACTTTCATCATCACAACACTTTTACCACACTTTCACATTATCACTGTTTTGCAGAGGTCTCAAAACAAAATCAGAAGCATACACTATGAAGATACACAACTATCCCCCAAACTGCCAATATCCCAACCCCTCCTTCAAAGTGCAGGCACTGTATTCCCATTTTCCGGACTCAAGTCCCACTATATAAAATAACCGTTTTTCCCCCCAATCCCTTTACAAATATTACCCGCCACACTCCAACAGATCGTCAGGTCCCAAGTACCATTCGTCCCATTCATCCATCTAACACGCCCCACGCAAAGCCGGAAGTCCAACCCCTTGCCCACAAAAACCCCCTTACCCCCTCTCTCCAACCCTTTCGGGACACCCCACCCCCCCCTTCCTTCCCCAAGATTTAAATCTTTCCCTGTCTTCTCTTTATCCATTCTCTCTAAAGACCAAACCAAAATCAACAACCCCTCTTTTGCCCCCCTGACTAATACTTTTATTTAAACCCCCAAAATTTTCCTAATTTCCACACTCCCTTTTTTTGCAAAAATTTTTTCACACACATTGCCCTTAAACAGGCGCTCCACGCCTCCAACCGCCCCCCCGCGCTGCATTTTCCACCCAACTTCCACCCATATAAAGTGTTGGGACACTATACTTTTAACATTCCCTTTTTTGCCCCCCATAATAACTTTTTGACTCCACTATACCTCAACGCACCACTCCCCCTTTTTTCCCCCACAATTCGATTAACCCATCCTTCATAATCCATCCCCCGACACGTCAACTCCCAAGTATCTGAAAACATTCACCTTCCCTCTCCTCCCCCCCAATTTTAATCCAATTTTTCTTTACTAAATCATTTTCACCCTCATCACCTTTCTCTTTTCTAGTTCACTTTCAAATTTTTAAACCTTTTAAAAACATTCCCAAATCATCCACAACCTTGGCAATTTTTCTTAGAAACTCCCCTAACCAGTAAAAATCAGCAAAAATAACTGTGTCAATTTCCCCTTTTTAATTTACCCCAAAAAATTTTAAACCCACCCCTCCCCAACACCCTGCATTTACTTCCTTTTCAACCCCATCATAAATATTTAAACAACCAGGTGACATTACACATCCTTGTCAAGACCTACTTTACCGGGAAGTAGTCCCCCTCTCTTTTACAAAAACCCTAAACCGAGCCTCACTATCCTCAAAAAACTCTTTACGCATTAATAACTAACCACCTATTTCCATATACGGGGACCCCCGGTTAACGATATTTTTTCACTCCAGAATTGTTCGGGGCCATACTGACCGAATTTGTTCCCTTTAGAAATATTGCGAAGAGATTAGCCCATTTCAGACCCCCAACATACACGTACAAACACATTTACAAAAAAACACTACATAATTGGCACATTCGGAGGTAACTTTAGGGGGTCCACGTACTTGCAACATCTGCCACATTGCTCCCTATCAACCTACATATCCCTTTTCTAAATCCAAAATGCAAAAAAAAACTTCCCTCCCTTTTTATCTAAAAACGTTCACAATATTTTTCAAGAAACACTTGATCTACACTCCCCTACCCAATCTGAAACCTCCTTGCTCCCGCAATCCTACATTCTGTCTTGCCTCAAATTTCTTTCAATTAAACCCCTTCGACACTTTTCCTTATACCAGTAAGCTTTTTCCTCTATAATTTTTTCAGTCTCTTTTTTTCCCCTTTCCCTTTTATAAAGGGGCTAACTGCTCTTCGCCAACCCCCAGGTCCTTTCCCCTCTTTTTATACATTTATTAAACAAAAATACCCAAACCCCTCCAACACAACCCCCCCTGCTTTTTAAAATTTCTTCATATCCCATCATTCCACTGCTTAAAACCCCCTTTTATTTTAAAATAATGCCCACGTACCTCCCCCCCCACTTTCATTCGCTCTTCTTCACCCTAAAAATGGGATACCCCCCCTGACCATGCATAAATTACTGCCTTTTTCTTCCTTAACATTTTAAAAATTCCTCAAAAAAATTTTTTCGCCATCTACCTAATACCCCATCTCCCCTCTACTAACTCCCCCCCACCTGTTTTTAACTGACAAATCCTACTTTCCCCCAGGCTTTCTTTAACTTTTTTAACTCCAAAATTTTTTCTTATTTTTATTAAAATTTTTTTTTACATGCCTCTCCCACTCTATCATCTGCTCTCCTTTGCACTCTCTCACCACTCTCTTTCCTTTCTTTTTCTCTCCAATACTCTGTCTTCTTAAACCCTTCTGATTTGTAAAAAAACCCCTCATAACTACCCTTTTTCTCTTTTTAAACACCCCTTTACTTCATCATTTCCCCCAATCCCCTCTTTTTCCCCCTGCCCCCCCCCCCCATAACCCCCAAAATTCTGCCCCACATTCTAATACTGCATTTTTTAAAAATTTTTCCCCCCCCTTTAACCCCCCCACTACTCTCTTTGCACTAGCCCCCCTTTCCCCAAAAAGTCGCTTATTTTCTCACCCGAACTTCCCCTCCCTTTGTTATACACTTTCACTCCCTCTTTCTTGTTGTTGCCCCCTTCCTCTTTTCCCATCTACCTCTTTCTCAACTGTAGCTACAACAAATAATATCCGATATATCAGTTGCCCCCTATAAACATGACATCCTGGAGCCACCCATCAACCTTTTAAACCACCAATCATAATCAATAAAATACTTTCATTACGTGCTACACATACCTTTATTTATTTATCCTCTTTTCATAAAAATGTATTATTTAAAAACCAAATTTTTTTTCTACACATACTCAAAAAAGGCCCCCCATTTACATTTACCCCCCGGCACCCCAAATTTACCTACTACTCCCTCCATAACATTTTTCCCACTTTTGCTTTAAACCCCAACCACCATTACCTCACACTTTCCCCAAACCCCCCAAACCCAAAAAGGGGGGCCCGGGGGTTGTTTTTCCCCCCCCTTTTTTTTTTTAAAAAAGGCCCAAAAAAGGGGGAAAAAAAACCCCCCCTTTTCCCCCAAAATTTTTAAAAAAAAAAAACCCCCCCAAAAAAAAAAAAATTTTTTTTTTAATTAAAAAAAAACCCCGGGCCCTTTTTTCCCCGGGGGCCCCCAAAATTTTTCCCTTTTAAAAAAACCCCCCCAAAAAAAACCCCAAAAAAAAAAAAAATTTTTTTTTTAAAAAAATTTTTTTTTTAAAAAACCCTTTTTCCCCCCCCCCCCCCCCCCCCCCCCCCCCCAAAAAACCCTAAAAAACCCCCCCCCCCCCCCCCCCCCTTTTTTTAATCCCCCCCCCTTTTTTTGGGCCCCCCAAAAAACCCCCCCCTTTTTTTCCAAAAATCCCCCTTTTTTGCCCCCCCCCCCCCCCCCTTTTTTTTGGGGTAAAAAAAAAAAAGGGTTTTTCCCCCCCAAAAAAAATTCCCCCCCACCCCCCTTTTTCCCCAAAACATAATCAAAAAAAATTTTTTTTTTCCCCCCCTTTTTTTTTTTCCCCCCCCCCTTTTTTTTTTTTTTAAAATTTTTCAAAAAAAAAGGGAAAAAAAAATTTCCCCCAAAAAAACCCCCCCCCCCCTTTTTTTTTTTTTCCCAAAAAACCCCAAAAACCCCCTTTTTTTTTAAAAAACCCCCCCACCATTAAAAACCCCCCCCTCCCCCCCCCCCTTTTTCCCTTTTTCCCCCGGGAAACTTTTTTTTAAAAACCCCTTTTTCACATCCAATCTTTATTTTAATCCAAAATAAATCCCTTTAATTAAAACATTTATAGTCCCTCTTTTCCTGCCATAATTATTCCCTTTTTAAAATTATTGCTACTCCTTTTTTTGCTCTAAAATCTATTTTAAACCCCTGACCTAATCCCCTTTAAATTTCCCCTCCCCCTGGAAAAAATCTCCCCCCCCCTTCAGCTTTGTTTTTACTTAAAGCTAGGACATCCCGCTTTTCTCATTCCTAACATCCCCCAAACATCTCTTTTTTATCATCTGCCAATATCCACGCACATTTTAGACTTTCCCCCTTTTTACCCTTTTGTTTTTATTTTTTTTTTATTTCCACCTGTTTTATCTATAGGATAAAAAATTGTTTACCTTTGCTTAATTTTGCTGTGAAGTAAACTTGCCCTCCCGACTTTTGTGCCCCATTTGTTTTGGTACAGGGGCGTCTTGCTCTTTTTTGCCCTTTTAGCATCAGAGGGTGAATTTTTCCCGAGGGCACTTGTCCTCATTGCCGTATTTTCCCCTGGTCATTTTGGGTTTAAGTGTCATGCATCAGCTTTATAAGCAAGGGGGGAAAACCCGTTGTTGTTTACTAGGGAAGGGGTAGGGGGTGGTGTTTTGGCCTTTTTCTGAGGTTTATGGGTGGTGGGCTACCCAACCTAATTGGGAAAAAAACTGTTTCTTTTTTTTTTTTTTTGGGGGGGGGATATTTTTTTTCCCCTCTCCTTTAAACCCCACCCAAGTTTGGCAAAACTTCCCCAAAACTTCTGGGAGTAGGGCTCATTGGATACCCCATCATGTCCTTCAAAAAGCAACAGCAAAACAACCTTGCATAACAGGGTCTTCCCATTCTGAGTAGGGGGTTTTTGGAAGAACGGTATATCAGTAGTTTTTAAACCATGCCAACCATCTCCCCCCAAGGCTGTCCCCAAAAATAGGAAAAATTTATCATTCATTCAATGACTATTTTGAAAAAGCCAGGAGGGCCCCTTCAAACTGTAACATCCCCTTTCCTCTTTCAGGGTCAGGCACTGTACTTTTCCCTCAGGACTCAAGTCTGGCTAACCAGTTTTTTCCCTAAGTCTTTCAAAAATGTTACCTTGTTACCTCCAACATCTCACAAAACCCAAAAAAAAAAAATTTTTTCCCCCTCTGATTGGAAAACACTTGCAAAGCCTGCTGGATGCTTAAGCCCTTATTACTTAT